TCAAAGAATAAACGCCATTCAGATGGAACTTGTTCTTAGAACAAACCAGGGAAAAATTCTTCAATGTTATGACAGAAGCGAAGTGGTCCATCCACAGAGAAAAACGAAGTCGAATCCTCATTTCTTTTTTTTTCTTTTTTTTTTAAAATAATACAGACATCGGCATTAAACAGACAATTCCTTTGAGACGTGATGCTAAAAGTCCAGCTTTATCCTTTAACAATTCCAAATCTTTAACCAAATTGTTTACCTCTCCTTGAGAAAATTTATTTGGTTCGTCTTCATTTTCACGAACAAAAATTGCATCAACTTCGGTTATTTCCCCCATCCTTTGCAGTTTCCTCACAGAGTACCACTTCTTCGGACATTATAAGGTTATTCTCCGATGGTACTGGAATAGGAAGGTGTTATATAGGAATGAAGTCTCGTTGCTGACACTTGGGTTTGAACATAGATCGCCAGTGAGCAAACGCAGGCGACCCCATTATCGAATTAAGTAGACGATGTTACCATAGAGCAAGGGTCGGCAACCTACGGCCCGCGGCCCGGATCCGGCCCGCAAAGGCATTTTGACCGGCCCGCGAGCCTGATTACCAATGACTATTTTTAACATGAGAGTCGAGACTTTCGAATTAGACTATCTGTCAGTTATCTTTCATGAGACTTATTTTACCAAGTTGCGTTGCCTACGTTTAAATGTCAAATAATGGATACATATTTGTTATGACCCTTGGCTACATTAAAAGATAACAGAAGCGAAAGGAACGATAAAGTTAAAAGAGGCTAGGGAGGGACTGACATGCGAGGTAGCAGAAATCTAAAGACAGTTAAACATACGCGCATTATACATACATGCCTCATGAATGTGTGGATGATACCGCATGTGTACGTACGTAAGTGTATATGTTTGCAACTATTTGTACTCGTATGTATGGGTATATGTGCTTCGTTTTTGTTTGATGTGTGTGTGTGTGTGTGTGTGTGTGTGTGTGTGTGGTTGATTTTTTTCACTTTGAAGTATTTTGACGTTCCTTGAGGAAAAGTAATTTTTGTTAGGTGTTTTTTAATTTTAGATTTTTTCTGATTTCTCAATGTTTATTTTCATTATGGTTTTAAATATTTAGGTTGACAGGGGGGTCTGCATATGTAATTTTCCTTAATTTTTCATTAATGGCCTTCGTCCGGCCCGCGGGGTCGAATGAGTTGCCGACCCTTGCCATAGAGGAAATGCATATATAGGAAGTAGCTGTCGACTAACGATTTCTATTCTAGTCTATCATCTATTACTATTCGGATCGCCATTTCTAGTCTATCCTCTATTACTATACGAAACGCTATTCTCTACTCTATTCACTATACTATTTCTCTATTCGGATCTCTTCGCGGGTTACTATTCAAGCGAGTATTATCGAGCAAGTACTATTAGTGTGAGTGATATTCGAAGGTGTCTGACACCAGTATTGTTACTATAGTGTTACTATAGTTGTATCTGCGATTACAAAGTCTCTACTACAACGAGTATTACGAAAGTGACAACGAGTATTTTTTGGCATCACAAAAGTAGCAACGAATGTTCGTTAAGTCACAAAAGAAGGTCATCATTTTCTTGTGGTAATTGGTCTTCTTGTCGATTTTAAATTGACATACACAATTTTATGCTTGATCTTACCTGTAAACCCGCGTACATTGACCTCGCAGAAATAAGTTTTGAAATTATCCTTTGGTTCTCTTCTACAAACGGCATTACTCTTTTCGTTTTATTACCCCCCACCCTTTAGTCCATTCGAATAGGCTGAGTAGATGATATGTTGTGCCTAACTCTTATCTTGATCCCTGAGGTGGGGGGATTCAAATTACAACTGGTAGATCTACCTGATTTCAACTGTGAGGAGATGTTACTGAGCTTTAGCCGTAAATGAACCACAGACAGAACAAAATATATCAGGACTGCTCTTGCAATGCCTTGACATCTTGAATAGAGTTTGATGATGATGATGATGATGACGATGATGAAGACTATGATTATGATGATGATGATGACGATGACGATGAAGACTATGATGATGACGATGATGATGATGACGATAAAGACTATGATGATGACTATGATGATGACGATGATGATGAATATACTGAAAACTATGATGATGACGATGATGATGATGGCGATGAAGACTATGATCAAGACTATGATGATGACGATGATGATAAAGACTATGATCAAGACTATGATGATGACGATGACGATGAAGACTATGATCAAGACTATGATGATGATGATGACGATGAAGACTATGATCCAGACTATGACGATGACGATGGCGATGAAGACTATGATCAAGACTATGATGATGATGATGACGATGAAGACTATGATCAAGACGATGACGATGACGATGACGACTATGATCAAGACTATGATGATGACGATGGCGATGAAGACTATGATGAAGACTATGATGATGATGATGACGATGAAGACTCAGATGAAGACTATGATGATGACGATGATGATGATGACGATGCAGACTATGATGATGACGATGAAGACTATGATGATGACGATGATGATGATGACGATGAAGACTATGATGATGACGATTGGACACCGGGCTGAAATTTGAAAATAAGTAAAATTTATGGAAATACCAAATACGGCTGATGGAATATTTTGTGAAAAATGCCCAACGAAACAACATTTTTTAAATATCTCATAAAATTACGTAATAAATACAATTAGTAATAAAGAAACAACTATAAATTCCATGTATAAGACTTGCAGTTGATCAGTGTTTTATGCCTACTTCATCTCAAGGAGAAATCCGATTACATTTTTGAAATCAGCGGACAAAATTACATACCAAACAGCACATAATATTCCCGATGAAAATTGGCTGTTGACCATTGTTATCCATTCATATTATATTTATATTTTTAACTGTCTATCTATCTATCTATCTATCTATCTCAGTTCATTTGACACGCAGACTCACTCTACACCTTTCAGACAATAGCTCAATTAGATCGCATTTAATTATTCATGGAGACCTACTGGACACTATTCGTAACATATTTGTTGACAACAGTAATATAATAGCATCATCTACATGCAAAAAGGCTAAAAATAATTGAAGCCTTATTAATAAAAACAAACAAACCAACATTTAATAATATTAACTTTGAACATGGACATAATATCTTGAGCGTGTTTTGAAAAATGAAAACATTTTATAAAACATACATACAACAAACTAATTCTTATTTTAACAGTTAAAATATAATCCTTGAAATGGCTAAATGCATAGCGGAAAGCGCTAGGATAAAAAGAACATTCGGACAGTTTTTATATAATTTATCATCCGAAAAGAAAAAAAAATTATTAGATGGCATGAGAAATTGTATAAAAAACTAAATAAAAAAGCAGCTTGTCTGTCGTGTCGTTTTCAATGAAATGTGCATGAAAGAAGGATTGCTGCCTAAATACACAAATATATATATATATATGTGTATATATATATATATATATATTCAAATATATATATATATATATATATATTCAAATGTAATGAGAAGGAAAATAATGTAAATTCAAACGTTCATAGCATTAATTTAAAAGTGGGCTCAATACCAAGTGTAGGCCAATAGTTATTTATTATAAAGATGTTACATAGGGACAAACAAGTGATGTATCATAAAAAAAAAAAAAATTAGATGGCAATTACTAATTACCATCTAATTTTTTCCTCCAATACACTTTGTCCATTTTTCTTTTAAATATTTTAGTTTATTAACCTCGAATTAGCTCTGTTGTGCGAGGTTCAACACCGGTTAGCTAGCCAGTTTTTCATTTTTATTATCATGATGAGTGGTAATAATAAAATTCATTTTTGTCTGTTTATGGCAGTGATAAAGTTTTGTACCACTAAACATATCTTTAAATACACACACACACACACACACACACACACACACACACACACACACACACACACATATATATATATATATATATATATATATATATATATATATATATATTTAAAGACATTTTTATGTTTAGCATTCTTTTTATAGATACAAGTATTCAAGTAAATGCTCTGTTTATAATAAACAGTATTAAATAATATTTACTGGCCTGAATGTCTTTAAATAATTGTCGGACTTTTGTCCATTTCATAATATATATATATATATATATATATATATATATATATATATATATATATATGAAGTGGCTTAAAAATTCTATAACTGACATTGCTGGCATTCAAACACTTAATTTTCCAATTTTTCAATCCCTCATGCAAATAGTTGACTTTCCCACACGTTTCCCCAAGAACCTGGACGGTAAGGCTTCCCTTCTCGATCTCTGTTTCACCTCTATTTCCGAGTCCTGATACGCCTCGCAGCTCTGCCCTCTTGGCAACTCTGATCATGTTGTAGTGTCTGTCAACTTCTCATTCTACCCCACCCCAGCAAAGAATCTCCTACCAACAGAACATCGTTTTGTTATCAACGAACAGACTCGAACTCGTTCCGGGATTTCCTTCTCGACGTTCCCTTGGAAGAATGCACTTCCGATGTCTCCTCTTTCGCGGATGTAAACCGACCCTGAACCCGTTTATACGTGTTCAAAGGGCATATTTTAGGCCGAGCCCACGGGCTCGGAGATCCGACGGGCTCGGAGATCCGACGGGCTCGGAGATCCCACGTTAAACCAGCCTTGTGCCACATGATGCCCTCGTGGGGGGGGGTTGACTAAATACTGTTCAATCTGAAGTCTGGAATGAAGTCCGTCAGGAGTCTGCCAGTCAGTCAGAGCGAGCGAGTCAGTCAGTCGAGTCAGAGGCAGTCCAAAACAGAGTCGCGTTCAGACAGGTACTACTAAACCTGATTGTTCGTACTAACACTTTCTACTTCTCTGTATATATTCCTGTTTGTAATATATCTGTGTTATTCCATATCCGTGTTCGAGTTCTTCTTTATTGGTTCTACCTTGGACTATCACAGTGGTACAAGGAACCGGACCATAACAGATTGCAACAGATGTTTCTTTGTCTCAGCACGTAACGAGTGCAATAATGTCCTCAATGAAGGAAAGTCATTATTTGCTGACAGAATGAAAAAACGTATTGCATCTCGCAAATTCGGCTCCAAGGATCATTGGCGTCTCTGCAAGTGCGTACTTAACAACAGCAAACCCACAATACCGCTTTTTTCAACCTATTTGAGGTCTTGATCTCCTCAGCTGATAAGGCTGAGTGCTTTGCTCGGAAATTCTCATCCAACTCAACGCTCGACTCATCCGGTTTACCAACACCCAATTTTCCCCGAGAACTGAGGCTCTATTACGCGAGTTGCACATAACACCGTCGTCGTTATTGGACATCATCTCTAAATTAGACTCCCGCAAGGCTAGCCGTGGTGACGGGATACCATTGTCCTGAAGAAATGTGATCCTGAACTGGCCCCTGTCCTCTTCAAATTATGTAACTACTGCATCAATGAATCTTGTTTTCCAACCTGTTGGAAGTCCTCATCCATTGTTACTGTCTTTAAGAACTCTGGAGACCCTTCTGACCCAATTAACTACCGTCCTATCAGTCTCCTACCACTCCACAGCAAAGTCTTTGAAGCTTTTATCAACGCCGAAGTGGTTAAGCACCTTATATCCCATGATCTGCTCTCTAACAAGCAATATGGTTTCCGCTTTGCCCGTTCTACAGTTGATGTGCTCACGGTCATAACTGAAATTGTTTACCAAGCACTTCACAATAACGGAGAAGCTCGTGCCGTGGATCTAGATATCTCTAAAGCGTTTGATAAGGTTTGGTATGCCGTCCTCCTTTGTAAGCTTCAGGGTTACGGAATTTCTGGTCGATTATTTGACTTAATACGATCTTTCCTGTCAAACCGTGAAATGATGGTCGTCCTTAACGGACTCTTCTCCAGTTCCGATCCCATGAACGCAAGTGTTCCCCAAGGCTCTATCCTGGGCCCTACTCTGTTCCTTATCTTCATTAACGATCTTCCCGATGTCATCAGTTCCCAAGTAGGCATCTATGCAGACGACACTACTATTTACTCCTGTCTCAAAAGAAAATCTGGTTTCACTGACAGAACTAACGTAGCCGTTTGTCTCGAAAAGGACCTCCAATTGATTGTGGAGTAAGGCAGGAATTAGCTGGTTAACTTTAATGCCTCAAAAACAAAACTGCTATTACTCATCACAGGGGACCATCCCTGCCTTCCATTAGAATGTATGATGCTCAACTCCACGAGAGCACTTCTTTGCGACTGCTTGGTCCGCTGACCTGTGATTGAACGAATACATTGAATCAATAGCTTCTTCCTCAGCAAGGAAAGTTGGTTCCCTGTGTCGCGCCAGAAAGTTTTTCTCTCCCGAGACCATCCTGCAAATCTATAAATCAACCATTCGCCCTTGCATGGGATATTGCTGCTATATATGGTCTGGTGCCCCTGCTGTTCGTCTTAAGGTCATCGACAAAATTCAGAGACGGATATGCAATGTAATTGGCCCTGATCTGGCATCCTGTCTACAGTCACTCTCTCACAGACATCTCCAGATGCTTTGATCTATTCCCTACCCTTCTCTTCATCCTTTCCTCTATCACGTCTCTTTATTCTCGCTCCCACTCCTTGTAACCCCTTGCGTGCTAGTGGCAACTCGCCTTGCTTGGGTGAAATGCTTTATATATATATATATATATATATATATATATATATATATATATATATATATATATGTAAAGAAAGAACAGTAAGATATATAATCCGGTGTTCTATAGATATTTTTATTTTTACAAAATAGTGCTCAATGTAAATTTCCAGAGCATTAATATTATAAATTAATTGATTTAAAATATGTTTTTTTTGCTACACAGTTCTAACCATGTTTCAAAATGGAAGCTAAAAGCTTCAAATTTAATTTTATTAAATTGAAGCTTTTAGCTTCATTTTTGAAACATGGTTAGAACTGTGTAACGAAAAAAATCATTTTTTAAATCAATTAATATATATATATATATATATATATATATATATATATATATATATATATATATATATATATTATAGTAAAAAAGGAAGAACAGTAAGATATGCAATCCAGTGTTCTTATTGATATTTTTATTTTTACAAAACAGTGCTCAATGTAAATTTACAGAGCATAAATATTATAAATTAACTGATTTAAATATATGGTTTCATCGCTACACAGGAATTACCATGTTTCAAAAACAGAAAACAAAAACTTCAAATTCAATTATATTAAATTAAAAGCATTAGTGCTGTCTCATCTTCAACCGAATTTTGGAATAACTTATTTTAAAATTTACTGAGTTTTAAAAGCACATATATTCATAATTTTTTTCAAAGGATACAGAAAAATCCAATCATTTAGACAGGGACAGTAGCGTGTTCTTTTTTTATTAACTATTATTGTATCTTCGAAAATGGGTTAAGTCTAGGTAGGGTAGGGGTGCCTTTTTTCAACGAATTATGACATTCGTTCAACGCATGTCGCTTGTTTGTTTTTTATCAACGGCAAAAAGTTTTTCGACATTTTATTTCTACTTGTATACATACAGATTCTTTCTAAAAGGGTTGTTTGTATTAGAATCCGTTTTGATCTACAATTATAAAATATCATTTTTACTTTCAATTACTAATAGATTATATTTCTTCTTAAAACAAATAAATTTAATAGATTTTTTTTATTTGAAAAGAAATAAATGGTAATAGAATTACTTAAATCATTATTATATATATATATATATATATATATATATATATATATATATATATATATATATATATATATATATATATATATATAATATATATATTCCGTATATATAATGATTTAAGTATATATGTAAATGACGGTTCCGTATAGGATGCAGGTTCGAATCCTGTCAAAGGACGAATATTTTCTATGAAAATTTCTCGGACATTCAGGCCGGTAATTTTCATTTAATACTGTTTATTATAAACAGAGCATTTACTTAAATACTTGTATCTATAAAAAAGAACGTTAAACATAAAAATGTCTTTAATAAATAAATTGTCAGACTTTGTCCATTTCTTAATATATATATATATTTAAACTTTATTTCAATCCCTTCTGAACTTCCGATCCTTAGCTATGATTAATTAATGTCATTCTTCGTTTATAATCAATTTCATCGTGATTCTCCTGTTAAGTTTGAAGATTAATTATGCAATAGTGTTATAAAAACCTCGGAGAATTCCAGTAAGATATATTTAATCATTTCTAAGATACAACAGTCCAAAGCTAACAATTGGAAAATTTTGCACTTACACCCTGTATACTCGTAGGCAATCATACACTTAACCCCACTGCTCTTACTCCGATCTTTACTTCCTTTCCTTGTTAAAGGTTGGCGGGAGGGGGGGGGTAATATAAATTCAAAAGTGGGATAATTGGCGCGACCCCATCAGTAAAAGATAAAGCTCGAAATCAATTGCCCAATGAAATTGCTAGGTATATGTACAACTCGAAAAACCTGTAATTTTTTTATTGTTAAAGATAGATATTCCTGTCAATGCTTGTCACACCCAAGGTAATTTTGCTTCTATGATATTAGATCAAATGAGGGATCATCATTTCAACTTAGAACTAAATACATTCTAATTATTCAAAGAAGAGTCCAACAGTGTTATAAAAATCCCGGAGAATTCCAGTAAGATATCTTTAATCATTTCTAAGATACAACGGTTCAGAGCTCAATCTAACAATTGGACAATTTTGCTGTTACACGATTTGGACAATTTTTCTGTTACACCATACATATAAGATATTTAGATTTTGATCTACTTAGTGTATTGAGCACGTTTACGTTTTTACTTAATTTACTCTATTGGTATTTGTTTCTTCTTTTGACCGGGCATTGCGGTGATGATTGATTATTTTCGACTAACAAGGATGTCTTTAGTCTTTTACTTTATTACTGAATTTTTTCCCCTGATATTGGCTTGTTCAAATATATTTTTATTTACAAATTGTATTATCCGCGTTTTTTCTCAACGCCAGCGTATAGGTATTAAAATAATACATAATGCGTGTGTGTGTGTGTATGTGTGCGTGTGTGCGTGTGTGTGTGTGCGTGTGTGTGTAAGTATTCCTCAAATTTGGACCAGGTTCCTGAAAAGTATGAAAGTAACGTAGCACACAAACAAAAAAACAAAAAACAAAAGCATTTTGATAATGGCGTATGGAAGACGAAAGTAATCACATGTTGGGGTATTTATTTTTAAATATGTACCGGAAACCAGAAAAATGGCCCGCAATATGAAAGAATTAATAGAAAACTCCTGAACAAATAACTTTTTTCGTCTTTAAATAAACTTGCATATTAATCATGTGTGTGTGAGTGTGTATGTGTGTGAGTATGTGTGTGTATGTGTGTGAGTGTGTATGTGTGTGAGTGTGTGTGTGGGGGTGTGTGTGTGTGTGTGTGTGGTGTGTGTGTGTAGTGTGTGTGTGTGTGCGCGCGTGTGTGTGTGTGCTTTTGTGTGTGTGTGTGTGTGTGTGTGTGTGTGTGTGTGTGTGTGTGTGTGTGTGTGTGCAAAATTAAAAAACGTGGAATTTTTTCAAGATAATAAATCTCGAAATGCGCCATTTTAAAATAAAAAAAAAAAAGTGGTGGTCTGAGGAACATTTCCGAAGAAGCTAACTCTCTCTCTCTTTTTCTCTCTCTCTCCATCTCTTTATCGCTTTCTCTCTCTCTCTCTTTCTCTCTTTCTCTCTCTCCCTCTCTTTATCTCTTCTCTCTCTCTCTCTCTTTCTGTATGTGTCTTTGTCGCATGCCAAAGTGAAAATCGCCAAAAAAAAAAAAATAAAAAAAAAATAAAAATAAAATGATTTTATGAGAAGAAGAGAGGAAGTCGCCCATGACTTTTGAACTTGTGGCATTATATAACCAAGAGTCAAATTTAGAAAGAAAAAAAAAGGAAAAACATTTCCTGAATAATTTCCCCCATTTTAAATACTTTTATTATTGAATGTCCGTTTTCATTTTCCGTCCTTTCTTGTAGCCTTCAAGTAATTCTCTCAAATTACAATGACGTGAATAAATACGAATTAAGTGAAAGATAATAAATTTTATTATCCCTGACTTAACTTTGACTTAATCCCCATTTATGGACATAATATACTCAGCCAGTTATGTGCCGTGCGTGATACACGCTTAGGCGATCATGTATCTTTCGATACATGACTGACGAGGCAGAGTTTTTCCCCGCATTAGATTGCCATTTCTTTCTGCGCTAGAGCAGTTGCCATACTAATTTTATTAAATAAAAGTAGTATGTTAAGTCCTTACACGGGGACTCATATACGTGAACCTGTGTCTCAATAAGCTCCTCTGTATACTTTTCAGTTGCCGCAAATATACCAAAATATTTTGATTATTAAATTATAGTTATATTTTATCCTTTTTAGAAACGTTCGAAATTTCCATTTTTTTTTAATTCTCGTTGGCGTGGTGGCCAAAGTTTAGTATAAAAAATTTTAACGTCTTTTTCCGGTGAAACTGATTTCGAAATTCTTGCAAAAATCAAATAATTGTCGGATTTTAATGAAACTTTCAGTACTTATCCACAAATGAATGAAATTATTTTTTAAATGTCTTTTTTTGAAAATGATGGTAAAGATATTTTATTTTACATCTGTTTCCCCCCATTTATTTAAGAAATTTCAAAAAATTATATTCTGCTGAGCTTTAATATTAGCTAAAAGCAGAACTCCTTGGAGAATTTAGATCGTCAATTACTGTTTGTAAAACAGGACATTCAGTTGCCGAAAATCTCTGAATCCTAAAATAAAAAAAAAATGCAATAAAACTATGACATTATTTAATTAGAAAAGCTTTTAATTGTTTATATATATATATATATATATATATATATATATATATATATATATATATATATATAAATTAATTGATTTAAAATATGGTTTTTAGCTGTGTCTTTAATACCCAGTAATTTTACTCCAAAATTCGCTTGAGGATGAAATGGAACTAATGTCTTTAATTTAATTGCAAAATTAAATTCGTGGCTTTTAGCTTCCATTTTTGAAACATGGTTAGAACTGTGTAGCGAAAAAAACATATTTTAAATCAATTAATTTATAATATTAATGCTCTGTAAATTTACATTGAGCACTATTTTGTAAAAATAAAATATCTATAAGAACACCGGATTATATATCTTACTGTTCTTTTTTTTTCTTTTTTATATATATATATATATATATATATATATATATATATATATATATATATATTATAGGAATATTATTGACATAAGAAAAAAGGTTTTCGATGAATAATGACTTTTACAAGAATTTTGAAATTTAATTATAATTTATAATGTTTTAACTTTTTAAAATTTCTGCCTTACTTTGAAGAGGTTAGGTGATATTGTGATCATCAACAGTGCGATTGATAAATTGTCGTCTAAATTACGCAAAAATGAAAATAATACTGATATCTCATTTTTAAGATATATTTACCGAAATTACACAAAAATATCATGAAATAGTAATCAGTAAATTTATTCAATTAAATTGCCATTGGCTTCAATCAAGGCCGCCAGACGACTTCGGAATCTCCTGCATCTCTTCTGGACGGTCTCCTTACTGAAATTGGTGAATCCTTGCCTTCATTTCATCTTTAGTGTTACAAAGAGTTCTGTTGGTCTCTCGCTCAATTGTGCCCCTCACATAATAATCAACGGGGTTGCAATCTGAGGAGTTAGGTAGCCAGAGGTACGGGGTGATGTGGTCGCAGATATTGACTGACAGACATGACTGAGTTCTTCTGCTTGTGTGGCATGGTGCAGAGTCCTGTTGCCAAACATAGAGTGTTCCGGCAACACCCTCTTGACCCAGAGCAGCACTACCTTCTCAAGACAATTAATGTAGGCCTCCGAGTTGAGTCTATCACCAACAAATTCAGGAAATTTTTCTTAAAAATACAAAATGACGATAATTTACCCATCGCACTCTGTATAATACAGAAATACAGATAGAAATGCGGGTCATTATTTTTTTTCGTTAAGTCGGATTCATTGATCCGTTTATTTATGGCTTATCACCCTTTTGCAGGTTATTTAAAGCCAGAAAATATTTTTAGACTGTAAGTAATTTTTAAGATAATAATTATTTAGTGACAAGTTTTACTAATTAACCCACAGTTGGGGGGAGAGGAGACGGGGATTCACACCTTTCCCAAGGGTATTTGAGCGTAAGTGAATATAACGAATCCGACTGAAACACGGCTCTCCGAATAACAACTGCGATCCATTATTTATTACACCACCCGCACATTATCCATCACTCCACCCGCACATGCAAGCTTACAACACCTGGTATTCCCAAGCGGTCACTCATCCAGGTACTGACCAGGCTCGACGTTGCTTAATTTCGGCGATCGTACGCGAACCATGAGCCTCAATCGAAAGGGTATCGTCTTTTATCAGGACCAAGACCATATCTCACGTCTCTTTGCAGACCCGGCAAAATTTGGTATAGCTTGATTGGGATGTCCTGCAACACCCACGGTAGTCATCTGAGCGGACAACTTCGGATTACCATTTCGATCCCTACATCTAGATACTGACCAGGCTCGACGTTGCTTAATTTCGGATTACCATTTCGATCCCTACAGAATTCTCTTAATGGGAAAAAAACTTCAGTCTTCTGGAAACCTGTAAAAAAACCATTTAGGCCAGTTTATCACCAGGAAGCAGGGTTGGATTAACCATTAATCAAAATAAGCACGTGTTTAAGGCATGAAAGCAAGAGGGCCCCGCTGAAATTGTAAATGATAGGATGTTGTTGTATATGTCTAAAGAAATAGTTTGAACACTATGAAGATTTGAATCAACGGGGTGGCATTATGAACGAGAAGACAACTGACCCGCAGTGAATCTTTATTGCCATTCTGATTGATTAATAAGGGAATGATCCAAAGGAGATAATGAGGTTTATATTTACTCCAGACATCACATCAGCTCTTTTGAATAAGTATTACTAATTAATAGGATTTAATTTTTGTGAACAGGAGTAGACTACCTTCATGTTCGTTTGACATTATGCTAACCATAAGTCATGTGACACGCTTGTTTGTTGATTACACGATCACTTCTGGTCACAATTCTATTAGAATCTGGTTGTGGCCCATGTGACAATGGCTGCTCAGCTGTGATTGGTTCTTTCTTGGTTGATGTTGTTCAAGGTTGGAACTGATGATCAGCCTCTCTCGATGTGCCCTCAGTTCCTTCCATATTTATTTCCAGCTAGTGTTTCCACGATACATGTTCTTGGTTGATATCCTTTATTTGCACTACTCCCCAAGACTCCATACTAGCATACTCAACTCCCAGATGTATAGAGGCCCGAAAAGCTTTCAAGTGCTTAGGGCCCCTATGGATCTTAATCCGACTCTGCCGGGAAGATAACAATTTCGGGTAAGGATTAAATCATGAAGCGGCTAAAAATAGTGGAACAAAATGGTATATAGGAGGTTTGAACAAAACATGTCAGGACTGGTGCTATAAAAAATAAAACTTCAACACATATCAATTCAGCATTTAATCTCCTTCGAAGTAGTCCTTTCTGAAACTACATACTTTATCCAGTGTCGTTCAATGGAAACAGTGCTGGATACAGTATTCATTGAACTCCTTTTATGGGAACTGCATCGCCAGATTCTTTTGGATTTCCTCGACGTCTTGAAATCTTGTTCCTTTCAAGGGGGATTTAATTTTTGGAAAACTGAAAAGGTCGCAAGAGGCAAGATCTGGGGAATATAATGGTTGTCGCATCTGGGAAATATTGTGCCCAACCCAAAACTGCTGCACTAGCCCTGGTCACTGATGAAATCTCTGTGGTGTGGTGAAACGACCACACTCTACACACTCTCCTTCCAATCACTGCTATAAACAACGGAAGTGAGTGGGAATGTTATAAGCGTGTTTGCGCCACAAAGTTCAAGGTTAACCTGTACTAAGCGGCTTCACTCTGAATACTTTAGCTTCGTTAACATTTTTTGGTCAGACCTCGTAATATAACTGAGTAAATATGTGTACAAATATCTAAAAAAGTATCTGGACCTTGATTTGCTGTGGTGGTTTTCCGTGACTGAGATGGTTAAAAAAAAACACACCTATTTGAAGTCGTTTTTAGCAACATGAATTGTTTTTGGCGATATTTCGATCCCTCTTGAAGGATACATTTTCTTTGTTTAAACCAATGAACTACTTTTACTTTTTTTTTTTACTTAAAGGCCACATTTACTCTCAATTTCTTTCAAAACATTCGATGACAAAAACGCTTTTTTACTAAGAGATAACTTTAAGAAGAGTATTATAGAAATCAGTCAGTTATGTGCCATGCGCGATACACGCTTAAGCGATCATGTATCTTTCGATCTGACGAGGTAGATTTTTGCCCGCAGTAGGTTGCAATTTCATTCTGCGGTAGTCCAGTTGACATCCAAGGCTATAGAATCCGGTCCGTCCTGCTATTTAGCCATATCTGCGGGGAAAAGAAGAGGATTCAAACCTTTCCGTATTAACACCTAAATGAATATCAGTCTGTTATGTGTACTATGCATGATACACACTTAGGCGATCATGTATCTTTCGATCTGACGAGGCAGATTTTTTCCCGCAGTAGGTTGCTATTTCTTTCTGCGGTAGACCAGTTGCCATCCAAGGCTATAGAACCCGCTCTGTCCTGCTATATACCCATATCTGCGGGGAGAAGAAGAGAATTCATACCTTTCCGTATTAACACGTAAATGAATATCAGTCTGTTATGTGCTATACGTGATACACGCTTAAGCAATCATGTATCTTTCGATCTGACGAGGCAGATTTTTTCCCGCAGTAGGTTGCTATTTCTTTCTGAGCTAGGCCAGTTGCCATCCAAGGCTATAGAACCTTCATACCTTTCCCAAGGGTATTAACACGTAAGTGAATGCAATGGATTCGACTGCAATCCGAGCCGCTTATCCATTGCTCCACCGTGCGTCCGGTATTATAGAAATAGTAAATTTTTATGCTTTGTTTTAAAGTAAAACTAATTTAACAACTAAATTCTACGGAACATTTGTATACACTAGTAAAATAACTAATAATAAACCATTTTAAAATATGTGAGTACTTTATAAATTTTAAAAAGTGCAGATTTATTTAATGAGATCATTGTGGTTAATGCTACTCTGCAAATTTTTTTTATATTCGACTCCATCGATGTCAATGATAGTCGAAGATCACCCATTTTGACGATGTTGAGTTTATTACTCTATTAATTAATTAACATGTTAAAATCTTACTTTATTAATATTTAAAATTAATATTATTATGTATTATTAATATATTTAATTAATTTATATAATAAATTATACTCTTTACATAATTTCCCGTTATATATATATAATCCTTCTTTTATATATACGTCCTGGGTATGACGATAAACTACATCCGCGTCCTGGGTACGGCGATAACCTACATCTAACAGCAAGGCCTCAGATAATGTTTTCGGAAAAATAATGTTGCCAGCTATACGTTTTTTGTAAAAAATAATGTTGCCAGCTATATGTTTTTGGAACAATAATGTTGCCAGCTATGCATTTTTGAAACAATACTGTTGCCAGCTATACGTTTTTGAAACAATAATGTTGCCAGCTATGCGTTTTTGAAACAATAATGCCAGCTATACGTTTTTGAAACAATAATGTTGCCAGCTATAAGTTTTTTTTTGTAAAAAATAATGTTGCCCGCTATACGTTTTTGAAACCATAATGTTGCCAGTTATACGTTTTTGACTTTTAAAGTCACTCAAAATCATTTTCGGCATAAAGTGACCACTAAGGTTGAGATGCCGTTAAACAAAACAATCAACAATCAACAATCAAATGGAAATTCTTGACTTAAACAAAAAATACCTAGGATTATTTTGTAGTGTGCAAGCAAATAAGCTCTAGCTTGCTAAAAATGTTCCATACAAAATAGGCATTTAAAATTCATATATTTGGCATATAAACTGGATTTGGCATTAAATAACCCACAGTGGTTGATATGCCATAAAACCCAAACAAACAAACAAATCCTTTATATATTCTTCTCAGTTTTTATTCAACTTTTACAATCAACACATTCGTAAAGGAACGCTTGATCGCTTGATTTCGTTTTCTGTTAGTTTTAGAGTTGTTTTATTTTTTTTATTTTTAGTATTTTAATCTGGCGTAGAATACTGCAAAAATTCCAATTCTCAGTTCTAAAAACCGTTCCGAAGTGAAATTGCTCTATGGATCACTAAAATATTATTGTGAACCCCTAATTACCTATTCTCCTGTGTGTAGCCTCAGTAATCTTACATGGAAGAGGTCCACATGAACTCCGGTTGATAGCTACTGGTGTAGACTTTGGATTGCCCAAGCATGCAGCCTTCAATTATACTGTTTAAAACAGAGAGATATCTACATAAACACACTCACTATGTATAATTTTTTATAGTAATAAGAAAAATACATATATGTAGTTTAATTAGTTAGCAAGAATTCATTTGAACAAATGGTGATAGTTAACTTTGTGAGTTAGTTTTGTCTGTTTAATATAGTGTAATGGTAATGGTTAAATGTAATTGGCAGAAATGCCCAACAAGCAGAATTGATAAAGTCTGCAATAAACAATAACATAAGAAAAGAACAAGCTTAAAAATAACAGTAAGCAACCAATATATGCAAGACAAAAGTAGGCAAAGCAACAGTAATTGGACAAAAATGTTCACAACGTAAGAATAGTCTGTCTATATCTCTGAGATGAGGTATTATTATTACTTGTATTATTTACATTATTCGGACTGTTATCCTCATCTTCATTGTGATATTCACAACGTTTCGGCCGTTGTACGTTCCGGCCTTCTTCAGGATCTGTCTATATCTCTGAGATGAGGTATTACTATTATTTGCATTATTTAGATTATTCGGACTGTTATCCTCATCTTCATTGTAATATTCACAACGTTTTGGCCGTTGTACGTACCGGCTTTATTCAGGATCTGTCTATATCTCTGAGATGAGGTATTATTATTACTTGCATTATTTACATTATTCGGACTGTTATCCTCATCTTCATTGTGATATTCACAACGTTTCGGCTGTTGTACATTCCGGCTTTCATCAGAATCTGTCAATATCTCTGAGATGAGATATTATTATTACTTGAATTATTTACATTATTTGGACTGTTATCCGCATTCTCATTGTAATATTCACAACGTTTCGGCCGTTGTACATTCTGGCCTTCTTCGGGATCTGTCTATATCTCTGAGATGAGGTATTAGGATTACTTGTATTATTTACGTTACTTGGGCTGTTATCCTCATCTTCATTGTAATATTCACAACGTTTCGGCCGTTGTACGCTCCGGCCTTCTTCAGATA